CTAAAGACAAAGAGTAAAGGACTCGGCCCTCATAAACATTTCTAGAGCCTCAGATTTTCTCTGAGCTTAATTGCCTTGGCCAAATAGCTACTTTTATAGGCCATTTGGTACATTTTTATGCACTTCAAGAGCAATCAGGCAATAGTGAGTTAAGATTTAATCTTTTGAAGCTTCAGAGATTTGAACTTTGTCTATGGGTGGTGGTTCTGGGAGTGACAGACAGTCCCAAGCCCAGTAAAATTCCACTTAATGAGGGTAAAAGTACCCAAACCTTCTTGTAAAGGTTCCCTCCTTTCCTCGGCATTCATCTTCCTTCGGCTTCCATCTTCTTCTTCAGTGTAGAGAATTGGGCTAATATAAAACCACAGATATCTGAGCCACAGGGAGAGAACCTTCACCAGGGATCCCAGTGGATGATTCCCAGGGACGGTAAGTTTATGGTTACAGTTCCCTTGTACGTGTGCATAGTGTATTTTCAGGTATTTTCACAAATAACATTTTCTCCATGTGCAGTTGAGCACATGAAAGTATTCTTCAGAAAAACTGTCACTGCAATAGTCAATAGTTTATCCCTGTCTGTGCACAAACACACAAATACCAGCAATTTAGGCATTCTAAACCATGTGTTTTCTCTATTTAACTGCAAGAAAGGCATATTTTCCCTATTTAATTAATCAAGCTGAGATCCATTTCAAGGGACTAAATTGTATGATCGTGAGGGCTTAACAAATTATAAATCTTTCAATGGTTAAAGGCAACATTTCTCAGGCTTAACATAATGGAAGTGGGCTAATTCATTCAGAGCTTTATTCACTAGGACTGAGATACACTTGCCTCCAGGCAAGTGGCATGAATTACTCAAGACATTTTGTACAAAGAATGCACATGGTGGAACTGGAACCTCTTTCAAAATCCAACATACTGTTTTTGCTCATTCTAGGTCTTTAATAATCACTAATAGAAATTGCCATATAGGGATAAATATTGATCCTAACTTCTCAGCTGATAGGAATTAATACACTGGAGCAATATTGAGAGAAGAGTCGGTGTCATAAATGAAGCAGGTTACCCACTGAGAGACTAAAAATCTGGTTAATATATTTTAAGATTCCATTTTATTCTCCATCAAAGGAAGGTAACTCACCACTTAAATTGGCTGCAGGTCATCCCCCCCAAATTTTAGAGTGAGCCAGAATAATTCACATAATTTGGGAGTTTAAGTCTTTCTCACAGTCTCTGAAACAACCGAGACTTTGGGGTCATAATCAATTCCAATATAACCTAATTTAAATGTTTACCTCTCCAAAACATTAACTGCTGCAAAGGTTATTTGGACTGGATAATTTAATATTTTTATTTCTGACCAGTCACATGAAAACTTGAAAATGTATAACCCAAAGTAACTTACTTTATTTAGGTGCAGATATGAATCACGTGTGCAGGGAAAACAGCGAGAGCTTAATCACTGCCTAGCATCCCCATATCGATGGGACTTTATATTCTTCATAATTGCCCATCAGGAACTAAAGATGTATCTTGAATTTTCTGTTCCCTAAATTTAAATTTTTCTTATTGCACTTAATGGGAGAAATTATATTTGATCATTTGAGAATTGTTGAAAGATATTCCTATCAAATTCAAGGGCTTACTATATAGTGGGTTTTTAAAATCAATATCAATATATTCAATATTAAAATACTAGGAACAGAACATAAACTAGGTGTAAGAAGACCATGATTCATCTTAGCTCCAGCAGTCTTGAAATATGTTCCTTGGAACAAATGCTAGCTCTTCAAGAGGGTAGGAACCTGAATGCCATTTCTTTATATGTCTTTCTCTCTCATCTCTCACATTATTAAGTCCTGAAAATTCTCATTCTTTCTTTACTGAGATATAACTGACATGTAACATTGTGTAGCATATTACAAATGTGTTGATTTGTTATTTATTATTCTTTTAATGTCCATTGGAACAGGACATTAAAATGTCCCTTCTTTCATTTATGGTATTAGTAATTTCTCTCTATTCTCTCTCTCTCTCTTCTCTTTTGTTTAGCCAGGCTAAAAGTTCATCAATTTTACTGATTTTTTTTTCAAAGAACTGGATTTTGGTATCATGATTTTCTATATTATTTTCCTTTTTTTCCAATTTCAATAATTTCTGCTCTAGAGTTTTTTTTTCCCCCTTGATTTAAATTTAATTGGTTCTTTTTTCCTCCAATTTTCTGATATAGAAACTTTGGTTATTGATTTTATTTGTATTTCATTTCTGATATGTGTATTTAAAGCTATACATTTCTTTTTCAGCACTCCTTTTACTCTAGCCCACAAATTTTGATGAATCATACTGCAATTTTATTTAGTCGAAAACATTTTTAAAAATTTCTCTTGAGACTTTTTTTATCCATAGGTTTAGGTTAGATGAGTGTTATTTATTTTCCAAATTATTTTGGGATTTCCCAGCTATATTTGTTATTGATTTTTAGTTTAATTCAACTGCAGTATGAAAACATACTTTCTTTTAAATATGTGAATGTGTATTTTATGCCCCAGAATATGTTTTACCTTGGTGAATATTTCATGCAAGCTACAGAAGAATGTATATCCTGCTTTAATTGGATGGAGTATCCTATACATCATGATTATATCAATTTGATTGTTATTGCTGGTCAGGTCATGTTTATGCTTACTGAGTTTCTACCTACTTGAGTTGACCATTAATAATAGTGGATTTGTCTGTTTTTCCTCAGAGATCTATCAGTTTTTGCCTCATGCATTTTTATACTCTGTCATTAATTGCATATATGTTATGGATTTGTATGTCTCTTTGAGAACTGTGTCCTTTAAGTAGCATCTTTCTTTATCTTTCATAATTTTACTTATTCTCAATTATGCTTTGTCTGAAATTCATATGGCTATTACATTAAATTTTGATTAAAGTTAGAATTATATGTCTTTTTCCATCCCTTTATTTTTATGTATCAAAGACTTTAAATTAGATTTCTTGCTGACAAGAAATATATTATTTTATACTTGGGCTTTTTAATGTATTCTGACAAATTTCTCTTTTAATTGATGTACTTAAGCTATTCACATTTAAGTTTATTATTACTGTGTTTGAATTAATATCATCCATGCCTTTAACTATTTTGTATTGTTGCCAGAGGCTTCTTTTTCTGCTTTCTCTGGTTTCATTGAGTATTTTACTCAATGATTTAATTTTATCTCCTCTCTTAATAATAGAATATCAATTATATTCCTTTAAAAAATAGCGGTTGCCCTAGAGTTTACCATATACATTTTAAAATAACCTAATTCCATCTTCAAAAAGTGCTGTGACACTATGTATGGTGCAGTCACCCTGTAACGGAGTATTCCCCAATCCTCCCCCTGACCCTTGTGATACTGCTGTCATTTTTTTACTTATCACTCAATAATTGTGCCCAAACTTCCCCTTGTCCTCTATGCACACTGTTTTGATTAGTTTTCAAATATCCTAAACTCTGTGACTCAGACGCTTCCACCTGATGAGCTATTTCCACTTGCTCACTCTTCTCCTCTTACTCTGGTAAAATACTCATCTTTCAGCTTTTAGCTTAACTGTCACTCCTTTCAATATCAGGAGGCTTTCCTGATCCTCCAGACTGTCATAGATCACTATTTTATATACATTCATAGTACTTTCTTACTTCTACCTTTATGATTCTTATTGAAATTATAATCAATTAAGCATTTATTCAAGGTCTATATCAAATACTAGTCTTTGATACCCATAAGAGCAGTTATTTCTCTCTTGTCACTTGTTTATCCCAGAATTGGCCTGGCACTTATTAAGTACTGAATAAATTTGTAATAAATAAATGTAGAAAGATGATTTATGACTTAAGAAATTCAAGAAATAGTATTTTCCTGGAATATATTTTGGAGTGTCTAGTATGCTAAACCTTTATTAAAGAATAAAATTGTTGGCAAATTCTTCAAATGATTTAATCAGACAAAAATCTCTTTTGAGTGACATGAGATAACAGCTGAGAGAGCACTGCTGTTGTGAAGCGTATCTTTTAAGAAATGCTCCCTTAGGCAATAAATGCTCCTGAAGCAGGTCTGAGGTAGAAATGGGCCAGCTATAGCCTGCAGACCAAATTAGGCTCATCGTATCTTTTCGTACAGCCTGTGAGTCATTTTTACATTATTTTAATGGATATTTATTTTTATTGAAGTATAGTCAGTTTATAATGTGTCACTTTCTGGTGTACAGCATAATGTTGCAGTCATATATATATATATATACATATATATATGTTTTCATATTCTTTTTCTTTATAGGTGACTGCAAGATAACTGAATATAGTTCACTGTGCTACACAGTATAAACTTGTTGTTTAGCTATGTTATGTATATATAGTAGCTAGTAGTATCTGCAAATCTTGAACTCCCAATTTATCCCTCCCCACTCACTTCCCCCACCCTGTAACCATATAGACAACATTTTTACATTTCTAAATGATAAAAAAAATTCCAAAAAAGAATATTTCATGATATGTGAAAATTATATGACATTTAAATTTCAGTGTCCACAAAAACAGACTTTGGAACACAACAGTGGCCATTCATCAGGCATTGTCTATTGCTGTTGTGTGTGTGTGTGTGTGTGTGTGCGCGCGCGTGTGTGTGTGCGCACGGGTGCACACGTGTGTGTGCGTGCTGAGACAGCTGAGTTGGGTGGCTGTGACAGAGACCATACGGTGCATAACTCTAAAATATTTATTACCTGGCCTTTCACAAAAGAAGTTTATCAACCCTGGTCTAAGCCGCCAATAAAGATGAGGTGTTTGAAGGATATTGCTCAGTTCTGATGTCACTACCATCCACCACCACCATTTCAACTAAGCATAAAAAGTACACTTGGGTGTAATTAGTGTATTTAATAGAAAACTCATGTCAGTAAAATGGTGTGTGGACAGAGCACTGTCCTGAGAGTTACATGACCCATGTTGGAGCCTTAGTTTTCCCCCTAACTTAGTGATTGCTGGGGAGATGCAGAGCCTTCGTTTCTTTATTTTCCACTGTCTTTAATTCATGTAAATATTCTTTAAATAGAAATGAAGTCATATCTTCAGGAAAAAAAGAGCTCATTATAAGTAAGTCACTGTAACAGCCCTAAGTTGTTGCGTTTATTTTTTTACAAAAACACAAAGGAAATGAATACCTTTACTAAAGTTTCCATTTAAGAGAAGGATTCCCAAGCTGTCGATCTGAAAGCAGAATGAAGTCCACCACGGCTCGTCCCTGTTGTTGGCTGTGAGACTGGACGACGGCACTAGTTTCCACCCGTGCGGGAACTCAAATCCACCCATAAAACGCCAGTGAGGCCCTGTAGTGCCTGTGGCTATAGGACTCATTCCTCGCTTTGGGCCAGATCTGATCCAAAGGGATGCCAGCAAAGTCTGCAGCAGACAGGCATGGCGGTTGTTTGTTTCTTTGTTTGTTTTTGTCTTTTATACTTCATTTGATCATGAGGTTTCAGAAGCTCCTTTCTCAGCAGCGGGACAGAGAGAGTGTATCTGTATGCATGGGATGGGGGTATTTATTCGTAAAACAGAAAATGTCTCCAGTGAAGTCAAGTTGTATGGCGAATAAAAGGCATTAAATAGGGCATCACCTACTCCAAATGTGTTTATGTCCCTTTCTCCTTGACTTAGGTTATGTCCCTTCCAGATTTCTGAACTTTCTCACCTGCAAAATATGGGTCCAGGCACACTTCTTACTCTGATTTTAAGCCATAAAACAAAAGAACAGTGGTAGGGTGACAGAGTAATGTGTTGTGATTTTTCAGACTATGGAGCCAAAGTTCCATAAACACAAATTAACCTCTAAATGAGAGATTTTAACAAGAAGGCCTTATCTTGGGACAAGATCTAATTATCATCTATTTGTTGTTCAATGGGAGGAAAACTGAGCTTCTCTGCGGAGGAACAGAAAAATCTTCTACAGCTGTGAAGCCTGCCCTCTCATGGAAAACGAGTAATGTAAGTAATGTAATTTGGCATCCCTGAATAAGGAAGCAAACACATAAACACAAGAGTTATAAAGAGAAATTTAGTAGCATTGTTTTAAATGATGTATCTAAATAGCAAAGTTTAAGTGAAATATAAGAGGAACTAAGGATGTTTTCCCAGACAGGGGAACATGGAGCTAGGTGTTTTACATATGGGATTTCAGTGAATCCTTGCAACATCTTGATTTAATAGATATTTTAACCTCCATTTTACAGATTGAAACACTAAGTTTAAGGATCATTATGTGTAAGAGATTTTACTTCTCAGTGGCAGAATTGGGATTAAAATCCAAGTCTGTCAATTTACAAAACCTTTCTTTGGAATTACAGTCATAGGAAACCCCCCAATTTGTAGCTGAGTAAATAAAAATTAATTTGAAATATCATTGAGACCAATAGAATTGAGAACTTCTATTAAATAAACTGCAGATGCTAAAGGACACATATATTATTAATAGGTGTATTTTGGTTTCCAGATGGTAAGGTGTGGTGGGGGTGGTGGAAAGTGAGGGCAAGGAATATAACTCAGGAATTAAGAAAACTATTTAAACACCTTTAGAATGAAGGTGCAAACCCTGTTCCAGGAAGGAGAGCGTCATACTGGCATGCTAACACAAGAAATGTCGAGAAAATTGATGGACAGCCTATTTCTTAGACGTGAATCTCTCAAAATTAACCAAACAATTAGACATGTTTAAAAATACGATTCAAAGGTAATATTATTCGTATCTCAGAGCTCTGTTGATCTGAACTAAAGTGATAAAATAATCAATAGATGAGGTCACTCCAATGACTTCTTAATGACATGGAATTTGATTGCTGTGTCCTTCTTAAACAATTGGTCAAGCACAACTTTTGTTTCATGCGTGCTTTTTATATCATATATTGCATTTTACAGAATTAATGTAAATTATGTAATTATTTTTAACAGCATTACTGCCAGATAACTATACAAATATTTTTAAATAATTGTACTTTAACTTAGCTTAAATTAAAAGCCATATGCTTTTGATTAAAGTATACTTAAACATGATTGCTAAACGACTGTACTGTATAAAAATTTTCTTAATACTTAAAAGAGTTATGAATAGGCACCTAGTTTTATTTTGTTTGCTGGCATTTTAATCTCTGTGTATATATATATATATATATATATATATACTACACACACACACACACACACGTAGTTAACGTAATAACTAAAGAAACGAAACAACTAAATTAGTAAGTAAGAAGGAAGGAAGATAATTAATTATTTA